ACACACACACACACACACACACACACACACACCTTAAATCTGAAAAGCTGTAATTTTCAAACAAACAAAAAAGCTGCTTTTTTAAATATATTTTCTGATCAATGTCCAGGAACATTATATTCTTCATTACTTCATACTGAAGAGTCATATTGCTTATTATTTTTATTTTTCCTAAAATATATCTCAGTTTATAGGCAAAAGCATAAAGAAAATGTTTTTTTCCTCAACAAAAAACGAATCTCTGAATATAATAATTTGAAAATAACAATTAAGAGACAACTGAGAAGCTACTGATACTGTAAATACCCAATGTGTTTTTATTTAAGGAAACTGAACCTGATCATTTTGGTTTTCCAGGCTACAGGTGTATTAAACAATATGAAAAGACTTTGTTTAAGAAAAATGTAAGTCTTGAAATTCGTAAATGTTTGCTTTCTATAACAGAGAGAGACAAATCCACTTGTGTGAGTGGTCAAATGTTTCAAGATGAGGGCAGTAAATATACAATCTAGTGTTTAGTAGGACATAATAAATCAAAACTATAATAATGAGTAATGGTCTGTGTTCTGCACCTCATGGGTCATGATTAGTCCACATGTCCCAGATGAAGGTCAAGGTGAGAGACATGGTTCTGATTTGATTTGCTGCTCTAACCTCTCACTCGTTTTTTTTTTTATCATTTATTATTTAATGTTATTATTAATAATATTTCAGTGGGGCGGGCTGCACGGCGGCTGGCAGAGGGTCTGATGGCGCAGCGCGGTGCCAAGTCGCTAAATGTCTGCGCGGCACCAGTAAAGCCAGGGACCGGGATAAAGCCACCGGCCACCACCGCCACCAGCGACCCGGTGCCAGCTGCGCCACGTGGCAGCCAGGCGGCCCCTGCCAAAGTGGCCCTTGTGGGAGGGACCCAGTATTTCTTTCCTAATTCACTCAGCATCTGTTCATTATTCTCCGCCGGTAAAGGAGGCTGAGGGGTCCACACACACACACACACACACATATTCGCGCACGGCCCCGGACAGAAAGACACTGTCGGTCACGCACTTTTGGAGAAAACGATTTTACAGGAGTTTAAATCCTGCAGCAGCTTTTTAAACATTTAGTGACTTTCACACCTGTGGTTCCACATTATCCACAATTCATTATTCTGTATTGATGTATTTGACTCAGCAGTCATATCCTCCAGCTGAAATGATCATGATTGTGCTGCTTGTTCTAAATATCGAGTGGGCTTATCTGACGTCACTAATATCCATAAAAGTCAATTATCTGGAATTTCAATTCATGTGTAATTGTTCAAATTAACGTTTAAATACCATGCAATTACTGAAATGAAATAATCCTGCACATGAGCTCAGTTTAACTGCTTAAAAAATATGAAAGATCAACTTATCCGCTGAAAATCGCAGCAACACAGAAGCAGGCCCAGGCCTACTGTACATAAATCTCCATCTGGAGAGTTTCACTCCCATTCATCAGATTAGGTAAACATTTATTGGATTAATTATTTTGGGGTTAATCTGGTAAAAAAAGAAATCCTTCATTGGATTAATCAGTGTCATAATTAGAACACAGTGGTTTGTTGTCCAGGAGAGGACAGAGACGGAAATAAAGCAATCTCATCACAACAATTCGAATATTTAAAGGTGTGTGTGTGTGTGTCTGTGATATATGTGCAACATGTTTTTATTTGTCACACACTCCCGTCTTTCCCACACACCCGGTTCAGCAGAGGGCACAAAAACAAAAAGCACCCACTTAGACGAGCTTGTCTGGCTGCACATGGAGCTGGATGTGGGAGTCACCTCCACCACAGCGGACACATGGGTGCCACTGCATCACGCTCACCCACCTTGCACCCTCCCACCATCCCCACCCTGCCAGCCTGCGAGCACCACGCCCAGCTCTGTGAAAAGAGATGAAGCTGGCATAGGGTGAAATTCCATTGCATCTGTTGAACAATGATGGTGCTGTGTGCCTCTGTGCATGTGTGTGTGTATGTGTGAGTGTTTGTGTGTGCCCCTGCCTGGCTGTGAAAGTATTGGACATTATTATGTTTTCTTTGCCCCCAAAAGACGCACAAACACACACACACACACACACACACACACACACACACACACACACACAC